ATCTTTGTCTTAGCTCTGTTTTAAATCTCGTAGTTTCACAGTGTAACGCTGGTCCTCTGGATTTCGAATCCTTTATATTACAATCTTCATCACTGATAATTTGCAGTAGAGAAAAGGACCTATTTCTGTTTATCAAATTTGGCGCCGTTGCGACGGGGACCAATTCGTTACCTTTGATTCTTGATTTGAAATTTAGTCTAAGATTTACTAACTTGTTTCTCTTGTTTTTCTTGTGTGTTTCAGGTGCATGATCACTAGATCTCGACGGAGCAACCGCAACGAAGAGCTTTTGATCCTGTCCAACGCAGAACTTGCAAGAGCAGAACGAGCAAACAGACAACGAAGGCCGAATCCAGCCGACATGGGCGATAACGGCAACCCGAACATGGCTGCTCAGTTGCAGCAGCTTCAGCAGCAGATCGAGCAGATGCGGAAGGCTCAACAAGATCGAGAACCGCAACCTCGTCCTGCTATTGGAGACAAGGACAATCCGCACACCTTCTATCAAAACCGGTCTGCGATTGTCCCTCCAAACGTGCAGAGGCAAGACTTCGAGATCAAGCCAGGCATGATCGCTCTAGTCAAGGATCACATCTTCCATGGACTTCCTGCTGAGATTCCTGCGGACCATATCCAGAACTTTGAGGAGATATGCAGCACGACTGGTTCGAATGGAGTACCGGCTGACTTTCTGAAGTGCAAGCTATTCCCGTTCTCACTTGCCAACAAAGCATCTCGCTGGCTGAAGTCATTACCACCTGGTCTTTGACTTCATGGGACCAAGTTAGAGCAGCTTTCCTGGACCACTTCTACACGAAGTCCAAGAATGCAGCTCTAAGGACGAAGATCGCATCTTTCCAGCAGTATGATGGAGAAGCTTTCTGCGAAGCATGGGAGAGATACAAGGAGTGCCGAAGAGAGTGCCCTCATCACGGATACTCTGACGAGCAGATCCTGAGCATCTTCTATGATGGAGTCAACTGGGACTACAGGAACGCTTTGAACGCAGCCAGCAATGGCGATTTCATGACGAAGTCCAAGGAGGGTGCATTCGAGCTGATCGAGAATCTTGCAGCGAGCTCGAGCAACAAGAACGCTGAGTATGACAGAACAGTGAGCACTGTATCTGTCAAAGGAAGCAGTGCTGATGCGAAGAAGATTGAGGAGCTCACAGCTAAGGTGAATCTATTGATGAAGGCGCAGCAGAAGTCTGTTCATTTTGTTGACGAGAACATGATGCACCTATCTCTCAAGACGACGATGATCAGATGGAGGTCAACTATGTGAATGGGCAACCTTTTGTGCCTAACCGTGGTTTCAACTCGAACTACAGAAACCATCCGAACATGTCCTACAGGAGCACCAACGTGAGAACCCTCAGGATCAGGTCTATCCGCCTCGATCGAACCAGAACCAGCAGAGTTATCAGAAGAGCTATCCTAACAGCTTCCAGGAGAAGACCTTGCCCCAAACCAGAATCGTTCTCAAGGGGTAACCAACAGAAGGCGCAGTTCAGCAATCAGCAACAACCTTCAGGTTCATCGAACAACTCGAACGATGAGCTTAAGGTATGATGCAGCAGATGTTGATGAACCAGCAGAAGTCCACTGCGGAGACACACTTGAAGATAGACACCATGTACAACGATCTGAATGGGAAGTACGAAGCTGTGTGGACTCACGTGAAGAAGCTGGATGTCCAAGTTGCTCAAACCGCTGAAGCTGTGAAGAGACCTCAGGAACCCTTCCTGGGAAAGGAGAGCAAAACCCCAGGAACGAGTATGTTGCACAAGTTGAGCTGAGAAGTGGAAGGAAGCTACAACCTGCTGTGATTCCTCTGAAAAGGGCAGGCAAGGAGAAAGCCGATGAGAATCTGGAAGAAGAAGCCGAAGTCGATCGAGCTGCATCCAGCAGACTCGATCGAGCTGGTGATGACGCCTCGTCATCTCAGGAACCCGTAGCTGACTTTACCTACTCCTGCAGCTGCAGAGACTGCTCCAGCCAGAGCTTACACCCTAAGGTGCCTTACCCTGTTCCACGGAAAAGTCCAGAAAAGACTTGGAGGATGCTAAGTGTAAGGAGATGCTGAAGGACTTGACTGTGAAGCTGCCTCTGTCTGATGCTGTTCAGATGATTCCTGCTCTGAAGAAGTACATGAAGGAGCTGATATCTGGGAAGGTAGCTGAGGATGAGAACGTCATGCTAGTATCGGAGGAGTGCAGCGCTGTGCTGCAGAACAAGGTGATCAAGAAGAGGAGCGATCCAGGAAGATTTGTCTTGTCAGTGCAGATTGGCCATGACCTTCGCATGCTCTCTTTGCGATCTTGGCTCGAGCGTGAACCTGATGCCGTATTCTGTGGCCAAGCGACTGGGATACACAAAGTTCAAACCCACGAAAGTCTCCTTGGTTTTCGCTGACAGATCGACCAAGTTCCCGTCGGTATACTTGAGGATCTACATGTGCAGATAGGGAACACACTCATTCCAGCAGATTTTGTAGTCCTCGAGCTCGACGAAGAGCCTAAGGATCCCTCATCCTAGGGCGAAACTTCCTATGCACAGCTGGTGCAATCATTGACGTGAAGGGAGGAATCATTGATCTCCATCTGGGAGATATCGTCATGAGGTTCGAGATGAACAAACTCCTCAAGAAGCCAATGTTAGATGGGCAAACTTATGTGATTGAAGATGGCTCGGACTTGGTGGACGAAGTGAGTGAGGAGATGCTTCTTGACGACCCTCTGGAGGTAGCTTTGACTAAAGCTGAAGGCGAGTATGATTTCCTGAATGAGGAAGCCGATGGCTTCGGGAAGATGATGGATGCGAGCGGCAAGATGGAGAGACTGGTGGCGTTCATGAGCTTGGAGAGGAAGATCGATCGAAGCCGTGCCAGATCGATCGAATGACCTCAGGAGAGTCCCGTCAACAGCCCTGGAGCGAGTCGAGTGCGCCTAAGCTCGAGCTGAAAACACTCCCTGCGGGGCTCAGGTATGCATTTCTGGGACCTAACTCTACATACCCTGTGATAGTGAATGCTGAGCTGAACAATGTTGAACTTGCTTTGCTTCTCTGTGAGCTTAGGAAGTATAGAAAAGCTATAGGGTATTCGCTAGATGACATCCCTGGAATTTCTCCTGATCTTTGCATGCATAGAATACATCTAGAAGATGAATCGATGACTTCTGTAGAACATCAGAGGAGGTTAAACCCGAATCTAAAAGATGTTGTCAAGAAAGAGATAATGAAACTTCTAGATGCTGGTGTAATTTATGCTATATCTGATAGTAAGTGGGTCAGTCCTGTGCATGTAGTTCCTAAGAAAGGTGGTATAACTGTTGTTAAGAATGATAGGAACGAGCTGATACCCACTAGAACTGTCACTGGTCATCGCATGTGCATTGATTACCGCAAACTGAATGCTGCAACTCGCAAAGATCATTTTCCTCTCCCATTTATTGATCTGCTTTTTTAGATGGTTACTCAGGTTTCTTTCAGATCCCCATCCACCCAGACGACCAGGAGAAGACGACATTCACATGTCCATATGGCACTTATGCTTATCGCAGAATGCCGTTTGGACTGTGCAATGCACCGGCCACGTTCCAGCGCTGCATGATGTCTATTTTCACTGACCTTATTGAGGACATAATGGAAGTTTTCATGGACGACTTTTCTGTCTATGGAAGCTCCTTTGCTGTCTGTTTGTCTAATCTGTGCAGGGTATTGCAGCGGTGTGAGGAGAGACATCTTGTGCTGAACTGGGAGAAATGCCACTTCATGGTGAGAGATGGGATCGTGCTGGGACATAGGATTTCGAGAAGGGAATCGAGGTGACAGAGCGAAGATCGAGGTGATGATGAGTCTACAGCCGCCTAATTCTGTCAAGGGAATCCGCAGCTTTCTGGGGCATGCAGGGTTCTACAGGCGATTCATCAAGGACTTCTCCAAGATCACCAGACCTTTGACGATGCTGTTGTGTAAGGAGGTCAAGTTCGACTTTGACAGTACATGTTGGAGGCCTTTCACACGATCAAGGGAGCTCTGGTGAGTGCTCCAATTGTCCAACCTCCTGACTGGAACCTTCCGTTCGAGGTGATGACAGATGCTAGTGACTATGCTGTCGGAGCGGTTCTGGGCCAGAGAAAGGAGAAGAAGCTGCACGTGATCTACTACGCCAGTCGCACACTTGATGAAGCTCAGTGCAAGTACGCTACGACTGAGAAGGAACTATTGGCGGTGGTGTTTGCATTTGAGAAGTTTCGGTCCTATCTTGTTGGATCGAAGGTGATTGTCCATACTGATCACGCTGCCTTGAAGTACTTGCTGACGAAGAAGGATGCGAAGCCGAGACTCTTGAGATGGATTCTTTTGCTTCAGGAGTTCGATCTGGAGATCAAGGATAAGAAAGGGATTGACAATGGTGTAGCTGATCACCTGTCAAGGATGAAGATCGATGATGACGTCCCTCTAGACGACAGCTTACCTGATGAGCACGTCTACGCTGTTGAGGTGATCGACTACGGCGAGCCCCTGCTCGCAGATGATGGAGTTCGATCGAGTGCACTAAGGAGATCGATCGAATGAGATGACGGAGATCGTGCTTTGAGCTGTAACGCCGTTGACCGTCCAGTTTCCCATGGTTTGGAGAGATAGCGAATTACCTCGCTGCTGAGCATGAACCTACTGGTTTTGTGGGGAACAAGAAGAAGAAGTTCTTGAGAGACATCCGTCGCTATTTCTGGGATGAGCCATACCTGTACAAGCACTGCACCGATGGAGTCTACAGGAGATGTGTAGCTGATGAGGAGATACCTGGGATCTTGTTCCACTGTCATAGCTCGTCTTATGCTGGACACTTCGCCACGTACAAGACTGTATCCAAGGCGCTGCAAGCTGGCTACTGGTGGCCCACCATGTTCCGAGATGCTCACAGATTCGTGTCTAAGTGTGATGTATGCCAGAGACAGGGGAACATCAGTAAGAGAAACGAGATGCCACAGAACTTCATTCTGGAAGTAGAGGTTTTCGACGTGTGGGGAGTTGACTTCATGGGACCCTTCCCATCTTCCTATGGAAACCTGTACATTTTGGTGGCTGTCGACTATGTATCTAAGTGGGTAGAGGCTTTGGCCAGTCCCACTAATGATGCAAAGGTCGTGATGAAGATGTTCAAGTCGGTGATCTTCCCTCGATTTGGTGTGCCGAGAGTTGTTATCAGTGATGGAGGTTCCCATTTCATCAATAGGACCTTCGATAATATGTTGAAGAGGCACGGGGTGAAGCACAAGGTGGCGACTCCTTATCATCCCCAGACGAGTGGCCAAGTCGAGCTATCTAACAGAGAGATCAAGAACATCCTTCAGAAGACTGCAGGCACGACTGGGAAGGACTGGGCTGCAAAGTTGGATGATGCACTCTGGGCCTATCGAACTGCCTACAAGACTCCTCTTGGTACGACACCGTTCAACTTGGTCTATGGCAAGGCTTGTCACCTGCCTGTGGAGTAGAGTACAAGGCTGCGTGGGCAGTGAAGCAGATGAACTATGACATGAAGTCTGCGGCAGAGAGGAGGAACATGCAGTTGGTCGAGCTTGACGAGATTAGGCACCTGGCCTATGACAGTTCGAAGATCTACAAGGAGCGGACTAAAGCTTACCATGACAAGAAGATCCTGAAAAGGAACTTTTCCCAAGGAGATCAAGTCCTGCTGTTTAACTCCAGGCTGAAGTTGTTTCCTGGAAAGCTGAAATCAAGGTGGTCTGGGCCCTTCGTTATCAAGGAAGTCAGACCATATGGAGCTTTTGAGCTATGGGACAAGTCTGGTGGACACTTCGTGGTGAACGGTCAACGCCTCAAGCCATACCTTGCTGATACCGACATCACAGAGAGGGAATCTATTCCTCTCAGTGATCCATCTCCTGCCTGAAGGCATTCAAGTCAAGCTAGTGACTTAAACCAAGCGCTTGGTGGGAGGCAACCCACTGGTAAGTGTACATACTCCTTTTCAATTTGATTTTGCTAATTTTGTTTTCTTTGTTTTGAAAAAAAAAAAAAAAAAAAAAAAAAAAAATCAGGAAACCGTCGGGTCGACCCACCCATCCGGTCGACCCGACCCGCCCTTTTGACCCGCCCGCCCGTCCGACAGGAACAGAGGAGATGCCGGATCCTCACCCCGGCGAGAGGAGATAGCGCGGGGGAAGAGACCCGCAGTGGAGCCCGATGACGACTTCGTGGACGACTCGACGATGCGGGATGCCCCTTTTCCTGAGACCCCGGGAGACGACGAGACTGAGGACGCTGTCACGGCGGAGGAGATGCAGCGTTTCCGCACCCTCCTCGACATGCGTTTTGCCGGGACGCGTTACGCCGACAGAGGCACGATGCAGACGCTTCGCATCGACGAGGACATCGACGAGATGTTCCAAAACCTCGGGATCCACCGACTCATGTTCCAGCAGTACGAGTCTTACCGGAAGGCGACTTGCCTTTTCCTTGCGACCCTCGAGCACAAGACCTGCGACCCCGGCACGACCACACCCGACGGCAGTGACGGGTACATCACGTTCTGGGCCACCAAACAGACCGCCGGACTGAAGGCGGCTCACCAGCACATCAGCATTCTTCAGCGGTGGAACAAGGCGCAGGACAAGATCACCAACAAGCTCAAGAGCAAGGTGAAGAAGATGGCTGATCAGATCCGTGCCTGCAGGACAAGCTGAGCTGTACTGCCTCAGCTTCAGGAGGTGTCCACAGGACCGCAGTCGGTCCACGCCAGGCGATCCCCTCTGAGGACGACGACGAGCCCGACCACGACACCACCGGCGGACGACCACTGCCTCCTGAGCCACCACGACACTCTTCCTTCGAGCCGCGACAGCAGCGGAAGAGGCGCTTTGGAGAGCCGCAGACAGCGAGACCATCAGGCGCAGCAGCTCGGCAGACTTGCCATTCAGGCGATGCAGCTCCACTTCGAGGCCGACAGCGCCGACAGACCACACACCGCCGACGAGAGCTCCGCCGGACCAGTACGTGCCTTACACCACGAGCGAGCTGCGCCCACCACCGTCCCTACTTACACGCAGGAGAGCATGCAGGAGGATCTCGACGACTTCATCTACGGACGCCGCTGATGCTCTCTCCTGACGCCACTCGACCGACCACCACCACTGTATCATTCCATTTTCCCTTTTCTTTTTCTTTTATTGAGTCTGTTTAACTCTCTCCTTGGTTTCTTTTCACACCGGGTCGGTGTGAAGTAAGTCCGGGGGAGGGTCTTTGTGTTTACTAACGTCTTTTTCTTTCTTTTGTTTTTGTTTCACCTTGAGTCATTTTGATGTTTTCTTTGAGTCAGGTTTTATTGAGTCAAAAACTTGTTGGGAATAAACTTATCTGATGAAACCATTTGTGCTCTTGAATTCTTTCTATCTAGTGACCAATTTTGCAGGGTTTGTTATGTGTAAAAAGCTGGATTACCCTTTTGGTCAGACTTCCCCCAGGAATTTTCGTTTTGCAGAGATTTTGGTGAAACATTTGGTTGACTCTAATGCTATTGGACCACTAATCTGACATCAATTACCTCTCATTCGGAATGTCATAGCAGGGAAACGGACCATACACTCAGGACTTCTTATTCATTTTACCACTCTCTGTTGATCCTGAGTGGCCAGCCCATCTTTGGTTGGTACCCCACCTTGAGCCTTACCTTCTTTCTGACTTCATGCACTCTGTTCTTTTTGTCATATATGCAGATATGTGCAAAAACGTCGGAGAGAAAGGTTCGACACAGCTTCCCAACCACATTCAAGACGAGTGTTCATCTACAACACTGAGAATGGGAAGTGATGGTGGAGTATGGAGCCTGAATCGATCGAACTGATGGTCGTTCCTTGGAGAAGCACGAATACACGGTAACATTTACGAGCCATTGACACTAGTTCCCTCATCAAAAAAAAAAAAAAAAAAAAAAAAAAAAAACTTGAGGAAAGGAACTAGTGGTTCAATAAAATGTCAAGCTCGACCGAATACCTCCAAGGAACACCACCGATCATAGGCGAAGGAGTTGAAGAGTGAAGTGGTTGGGAAATGTGGCTATCAACAGAACCATTCTCTCTTGCTGTTTTGCGCGATATCATGCATCCTCCGGCGTATCTGGTAACCCTTAAACACTTTAACCTCACCAAAACAGGCCTTTTGATACCCAACACCGTCGACCCTGTATGATGTTCTTGATGAGAGGTCCACGCCAAAACTTAATGAATGTAGAGAGTTAACCTATGTGTAGCTTGAGTTTCTGCAGGATGGAGGTTCATCACGGGATCAGGAATGCGAGACTTCAAGGGGACTACAGTGATTATGCACTGACCGAACCTTGTCCTTTGAGGTCTACTGATGATCCTTCGGGGTATGGTTGCTGATGATTTGTGAGTTCCCGCGTTTTCAAACTTCTTCCCTATTCTTGGAATTTATGTTTGCTTGAGGGCAAGCAAAAGACCAAGTCCGGGGGAGTTGATATCTTGCGTATTTGACGCATTCTAACACTTGTTTTCACGAGTTTTATCGAGTCTTTCTAGTCTTTATCGAGTCTTTTCAGGTCTAAAGACGTTCCAGGGAGAGCTTTGGTCACATGGACCAACAAGGAGAAAGCAGGCAAAACGGAGCAGAAGGAGCTCGATCGACTCCGCACAAGGTCGATCGACCTGTACACGAGACCAGCTCGATCGACCCTCACACGACAGGGTCGATCGATGCATGCATGAGAGCAGCTCGATCGATCCCATGTCACGAGCACTCGATCGATCCCATGCAGAGCAAGCAGCTCGATCGATCCCGTTCTGTCTCAGCCGTTCGATCAATCCCGGTCAGATGATATCACAGCCGTTCGATCTACTTGGTGCAAACCGACTTGATCGAACCACAGCGAACCGGATTGAACCGAAGTCGACCCCGGAGCTATTTAGACCTATCTTTAGCCATTGTTTAGGCTACGCCGTTTTTCAGAGTTTTACACTGTTTTCATTGTTTCCGAGGGAGAAGAGATCAAACCTCTGTTTTCACAGTTTGGAGAAGATTTCTGAACCCTTGTTTGCTATTTTCTTATTTGATTCAATGACATTTATTCAGTATTGTTTGCTGTTTCACCATGTCTGAGTAGTCACTTGCTAGATCTAGGCTTTTCAAAGGGATTCATGTGTTAACTTGACTGAATACAGATAGGGCTTTAATACTGTCTTCGCCATTGTTGCATTACTGCTTAGATCGATCTGATCACTCGATCTCTGATCTCAGATTACCTGTTCATCAAAAGTGCAATAGGTTGTTAGAACGAACTGTGGTGAGCGAATCGTCCTTAGCCTGCGAAAGTTGATGCTAGGCGATTCGTGAACTTATCGAACCTGTGTTTATTGCTTGTCATCAATGCTAGATTCAAACGACAGTTTAGACATCTAGGTTGTTAGATAAAGTTGTCATTATCGCGAAAGTGAATTGACATATTTCATGTTTGAGTTCGAGACCTGTTCATCATCTGTGCCCTGAATAGTTGTTCGGTCGTTAACTGTGAATCTCTGCGAATTGCCTTGGTCTAGTCCCTGTTTAATTGAATTACATCATCGTTTACATTCGTTACCTGTTACTAAAACCAATCATCTTTGTCTTAGCTCTGTTTTAAATCTCCTAGTTTCACAGTGTAACGCTGGTCCTCTGGATTTCGAATCCTTTATATTACAATCTTCATCACTGATAATTTGCAGTAGAGAAAAGGACCTATTTCTGGTTTATCATACCACCCCCAAACTAGTGGACAGGTTGAGATCTCAAACAGAGAACTCAAGAGCATACTTCAGAAGACAACATGCAAGACAAGAAAGGATTGGAGTGCCAAACAAGATGATGCTCTATGGGCATACCGTACTGCCTTCAAAACACCACTTGGTACAACCCCCTTTCATCTTGTCTATGGCAAGGCATGTCATTTACCAGTGGAACTTGAGTACAAAGCAGCTTGGGCTATCAAGGAGTTGAACTTCAACCTCAAGACAGCAGGAGAAAGAAGATTGATCCAGCTGAATGAGCTTGATGAGATTAGGCATCTGGCCTATGAGAATTCAAAGATCTATAAGGAAAGAACCAAAGCTTTCCATGACCGCAAGATCATCCCAAAGAACTTTGCGCCAAACAACCAAGTTCTACTATTCAACTCAAGGTTGAAACTCTTTCCAGGAAAGCTTCGCTCAAGATGGTCAGGACCATTCAGGATTAAAGAAGTTCGCCCCTATGGAGCAGTGGTGTTATGGGATCCAATGGGAGGAGACTTTACAGTCAATGGACAAAGGCTAAAACCCTATCTAGCCTCCACCACCATACCACAGGAGACCACACTATCTCTAGGTGATCCACCAGATCCTTAAAGAAGTGCCATACAGTCAAGCTAAAGACTTTAAACAAAGCGCTGAATGGGAGGCAACCCATTGAAGGTCATTTCTTTTCATTTTCTTTCTTTAATTTTCTTTTGTTTTGAACATTACCTCTCACCTTAATGTGATTTGCTTTCACCGGGACGGTGCAAGTTAAGTCTGGGGGGAGTTTTATTGTGTTACTAATGCATTTTTCTTTCTTTTCTTATGTTTTAGTCATTTTGTTTTAAGTTTTTCAAAAAGTTTTATTGAGTCAAAAACCAAGTCCGGGAGTTATGAACTTGCTTTGAGAATTGAGAGTGTTATGCTAACAATCCATGACCCTAGAGCAGAAACCAGCTAAAAGGCACAAGCCTAACAGAAGCTCCTAGAGTGGATCGACATGCCAGCTCAGCGGAATTTCTAAGGTAACCAAGCAATCTAGAGTTAACCTCACCCTCAATCAATCTTAATAACTCTTGTCAAGGGGGTTGGCATACATGTCGACAGTTCCTTGCTTGATCTTCAAAAAGATTTGTCAAACCTTGGAGGCTATAGGATCATTGCCCAAACTAATCCATCCAACCCCTTAGACCTCTATGTATAGAGCAAGAGATATTGGAGCTCTTAGTGGATCTTTTCCAGCGAATGCCATCACTTTCGTGTGGGGAGTCGCCTAAGGACTTACAAGCCAGGGGTAGTGGTCATGTAGCCTTAAGATCTATCCAAAAGAGAGAGAATCTAGATTAAGACCATAAGCTAGAAGGATTAAGCATATGAAACCTCTAATCTATCCCATCTCAAACCCCAATGGGTAACTACTCACTACACATGAATGTAAACACAAGCAAATGCAATAAAAGAGACATCATAAGAAAGAGGAGATGAAATAAACAACTTTTATTGAAATAAGCAAGTGCAAATACAAAGAGATTATCCAGGATCTAGGATTCAAGAAGCAAGAGCTTCAAGAACACAAAGATGGGATTAGATCTCTAAAAAGTAAAAGTACAATAAATTAAAAGAAACTAAAACAAAATAATCTAAAGCTTGGTGGTTTTTTCGTGGCTTAGAGCCTTTAAATACAAGAGGTTTTAGGTTTAGGGTCAAAGGAAAGTCAAGGGGGAAGCAACATTTTTCGGGTTTGACTTTGACTTCCAGCTCGATCGAGTTGAAGCTTGGCCGGTCGAGTTGAGGAACTCGACCGGTTGGTCGAGTAGACGGTCGAGCTGGTCTTCAAGATGGCTTCTCCCTTCTTCCTTTGCGTGTCCAGTTGAGCTGCTTCCATGTGCCAAGTCCCTCCATGCTCCTTATGTCCCATATGCTCCAGAATGCTCCAAAAGACCTATTTCAAAGGACCAAACATGCATATGTATGCAAATGCAACCTAAAACTAACATGAATGCATAAGAAGAGAAAAGGAACAAGATATGATGCAAATGGAAGCTAAAACTATGCAAAAGATGCATAAAAGATGTGCTAAAACTATGTAAAATGCAAGTACATCAACACCCCCAAACTTGACCTTTGCTTGCCCTCAAGCAAACAAATAGAACAAGAAAGAGATGAGGTTTGAAAACAAGTTGATTCAACACTTAAAAACATGTCCTCAAAAGCGATTTGCTAAATGTCCAACTTAGAGATTCTAGAATGCAACAAGGTGAGAGATATTCATTAAGATTTAACCATGCTTATCAACATCAATCCCACTTCACAGTCACTCAAACAATGCATTCAAATCAGCAAATCCCTTTAACATTCATTAAGCAAAAACAGTGAACCAAAAACATGCAAGATCAATCAACTCATTTGGTTTCAAGGGTTTATGGGTTAAGAGACAAAGAGGGTCTCTTTTGTATGGTGGTTTAGTAACAGGGATCTCTCAAGAAAGTGGCTTTGCTTTGGCAGAAGGCTAAGTGTTAGAACCAAAGATGATGCAAGAACAGCAGCTCGAGCCGCCTAATCCTAACTCGATCGAGTTCAACACTTAGAGCTTTTTAGAACAAAATCCTAACTACCCTTTTTGGCATTTCGCCTTTGAAACTGAGGAGCTTTGCTCACTTTTCTTTTAAGAACTTCCTAGGGAGAGGCTTCTTGAGGTAACATCTAGCGGTTTGGGATTTTCTAAACACTTAGGGAACTTTTCTTTCTTTTTGACACTTGAGGCTTTGCCTTCTTTTCATTCTACTTAGAACCCTTTTTACTTCCTTTTTTAACTTCCCAAACCTTTACTAGACCCTTTTTAACACTGCCAACTCCCTGGACTTAACTAAACTCTTTTTCCTTTGGATTTTCCCAACTTTTTACCACTTTTCTGGTTTTTACACCCAACTCGATCGAGCTCGAGTTGGCACCCCCAAACTTAGCCTGAAAACAATCCCAAGAGAACTAGACAACTAGAACTACTGCCCCTGCCGGTTTAAACACAACACCTTATGCTAAGCAAAGCCAAGAAAGGTTCTCACATTCGCACAAGAGATAATATGGGGTTTGAAATGAAAAGGCTTAGGTTTAAGGTGGGTAACTGTCTCAAAGATGGAGATCAGCTATCTGGACAAGCAAGAGGGATATGAAATAGGTAAAGAATGTCCAGATATGTATGTGGTAGCCATGAGTTGAAATCAAATGCAAGCATTGGTAATTAAAGATCAAGTTATGGTTCAAATAGATAGGGAAATGCATCAAATCACAGCAATGGTTGAATGAGATGTGCATGCAGTGATATGATCAAGATAAACATGGTTCTTGTGCTCAATCAATCTCACCCTAATGCACAAAAGAATCTAAAAACAGGGCACTCAAGAAATCGCAAAAGATGGACAAGTTTTCAAAGTCAAATCAACAATGCAAGTGAAAAATGCAATCCTAAACAAGTCTAACAAATATGAATGCAAAAAGATGAAAATATTTTTGGATTTTTTTGAAAATTTTATGATTTTTTTGGTTTTTCTATGCAAAAGATGAATGAAAAACTAAGAACAAAGAAAACAAGGTTAAATCATCTCTTGAACCCTCCCCCAAACTTAAATCACACAGTCCCTTGAGCAATCTGCTAAGACTTTGGATCAACGAAACTTCCGTCAGGCAGTGTATGTGTCCTTAT